TTGCATCAGCACTGGAGCGCGCGTGGTCACGTTACAAGCCAAATGAAGGAAGAGGTCCAACTGAAGATTAACCTAGAAAAAAAATCAGCAGCTTTATGTGACATGAAACCACAGCCTCTGACTAGGATTTGCATTGAGTTTGTAATGGGGCTATTCACAGACGGACCTGAATGACCTCTAACAACGCACCATGATGGAATCCTGACAAGCCCGCATGTGTTTCCACACAGCATGCAACTACGTTAAATATAAAAACATGTCTCCACAGCCTATTCAACATAATTAGGACTCAGAGATGAGTCCTGCTAGGGCACTCTTAAAAATACTGTTGGAACATTGGTTTCCTAAATTAAATTTCATGCAAATGGATAAAAAAAAAAAAAAAGGATTTAGAGAGTTTCTGCATTAAAAAGGAGATCAACTTGAAGCAAGTCTACTTTATACTTCTAGTAGATTAATGGGCAGCTGTGTACATCTTAAGCTGATTGCCTTCTCAAAGTGATGTTGTAATGTTAGACAGAACCGTATGTAGTTTGCTAGAAAATCTAGAACGAGCACATGCAACTTTCTGATGGACCTTATTAAAAGAAAAAATAACCCACAGCACCTAGACCACCTTATTTGAAAGGATGCAAAAGTCAACATTAGAATTAAAATAATTTTATTTCAATGTACATGAACAGAAATAAAGTATACTTTTCTAAACTTACTTACAGAGATATATTGCTGGGCTGGCCCAATCACAAGTGTTCTCCATTACAAGGTAGCAAGACTGACTAGACCCACTTAACTGCTTTTTGGGCCAACTGGATTCAAAGTACCACCTTCAAAAGGGTCCTTCAGCACACAGCAAACTATTTTTTTTGAAAATGAAAAGAAAACTCATCATCTCTTCACCCAGCCAGAAATTCTACATTGTGTTCCAAGGAAGATCTCCCTTGAAAATTCTGTCCATTACTGAAGAACAGTATACAGTATGCGGCGCTATATCTAAACTTAACGGATCAAGGTTTCTCCCAAATACTTTTCTCTATTCTACTCTCTTGTACAAAGCACCTGCTATAAAATCCACACATTCAAAACCACAGAATTATACAAACCTGCAAACAAGGCTGTTTTCAATATGAGTGTTGCTATGTGCTATTACCCGCTGTATCAGCTTTAACATGCAGCGTACACAGATGGTAAAAGGGCATTTCTCTTGACCATCTATTTCAGAATTCACAGAAGTTATGACTGTTTTTTACAACTTATAGTGCAATGTAGTTAAGTTATTCAACGTCATGATATGGCACCATAAGATAAGCAATCATTTGTTAAAATGCACAATTCCTTTACTAATCATTTTGTGGCACTTCACTGATAATGTAAATAATAAATTTAAAAAGACAACTGGAAGAGGAACGGATAGGGAAAAATCTTTTTGAAGAGTGTCTATCATCTCCTTTAACAAAGAAAATTAGAAAAAAATCTGGAACTGTCAGATTCAAGGAAAACAATACGAAGTAGTTCTTCACATAACACAGTTAACCTGTGGACTCCTTTCCATGTGATGTGGATGCTAGGACACTGTGAGGATTTAAAGAGGTTTTTCTTCCACGATTTTAACCAGCAAATGCTCTCAGATGCAGAGTTCCCCAAGCCACAGATCGCTTCAAGTATATTCTGGGGAAGCATTGCTATCGGCTCATGCTGTTTTTATTCTTCCTTGTGCATCTGCTTTCTGCCACTGAGACTGGATGCTGGGCCAGAGGGACCTTTGGTCTGACTTGGTACAGTTGTTTCTAACGGCTACTTCAAAACACTTCATGAACTTATACTTAAGACAAAGTTCATAATTTGTCACGCTATTTAGTTAGAAGGACTCAGATTTTTGAATTACAAATGACTTCCAAAAGAGGAAAAAAAATATTTAAGCTTTTTTCTGCTATGACTCAGTTGTATAAAACTGTATAGAAAAATGAGCATTATGTGCAGATGTAACGAAAAGCAGTAAGCTTTATAAAAAACATTCTTAGAAATGTACCAAGCATAAACAAAAGATGATTTACAAATACATTTAGCTGTTCTTCTAGTCATCATCAGAATCTGAATCATATTTCTTTCCTCTGATGGTCTTCTTATCCAACTTCGTAAAGCTTGTTCCAAATTTCTTTTGACTTTGAAAAGGTGGGTCCATCAAGTTTCCACTAGAGGAAAAGAGTAAAACATGTTGATTAAAGCCGTATTCATGCAGACAGTAAGTAGCATCTCTAATTACCTGTTTCTCCAGGAAAAGAGAACACAACTGCTACTCCCTGAAGACACCCTAAGTAGCACTGCGGTGTTGCTAGCATAGCACATCCCAGACAAAATGGCCTGGATAACTGTAGTTAAGACAGGAGTGTGAGTGTAAACAGCACCTGTGAGCGGAGCTCTAGACAAAAACTGTCTGAGAGGGCTTTTGCTGCAAACTGATCATGCTGAAGACAACCATCTGTCAGATTAAGCCGTAACCAGGGAATTAGAAATACTTTTCAAATAAATGAGGAGCCAGAAGTACAAAACAAGCTAAGATTTTGTAACAGGGACTTCGGAGTAGAAACAGATGAGTCAAAACTGGGTTTTATACTGCCACAAGTCACCTTGTACTATCTCTGCCTAGCCAGACAGAGCAGCTTCCCCACCGAACGCTGTGCTCCAATCAGGGGAGTATGGAGGGACTCGCGCCTCAGTGTGCACGTATGACCCTGTGGGGGCTTTCTCACCAGCCTGTGGGTCCCTGGGTCGTTGGGAACAGCAGGCGCTCACATAAAGCTGGAGCACCCATGCGACCTGTGAGGGGTTTGCATCTAAGTGTCAGTGAGTGAGCGAGCAATTAGAACCTTCTGGAATTAGCTATAGAAGTGTGTTTAGAAATTTGTAGGTATTAACATTTTGTAAATAACATTTTGCTGATATTGATCCTAAATGTACAGTTCACTGATTGCTAGTTAATTACATGTCAGTAATAAGTCAATACACCTCTTGAATCCTGATTTTGGTCAAACAATGTGACCTGAACAGTTTTTCCCTTAAACAACAGTATATCCTTTCACCATCTGCTATCCCACAGGTTGAAGAAAAAGAACTGTTTCAAGGCTCTGGGAAGGACTATCTCCTTGTCAGGAACTCCAGAGAGAGGGACATGACATTCAAAGCAGTGTGGAAATGCAACACGTGTGCATAAATGGCTGTCTCCTAGCATGGATCTCCTGGGCTGTGCAGATACTGTGGCTCACTTTGCAAAGCCAGGGTACCAAACTCAGGATCTGGCAAAATGAACAAAGAATGAAACAACTCCCCCACTCCACAAGGAGCTAAGATTGGAATACCCAGTACTACTGGAGTCAAGCAGGAAGTAAAATTATGCCATAAGCCCATGTACTAACGTTTAGCAAGTTCAATGCAGCTTGGTACAACTCCACTGAAAGATTTCTCCCATAAAAGGCTGTTGCTGTCTAGAATACATAACCAAGCTGCCTTTCACTCCTCTGCGTATTTGCTCGTTACTGAACGGGTAAATGGGTATTAACACTTGTTTTGAACTACAGATTTCCATTTCAGTCATTTCATCTGAAGTTCAACAGCTACTAAGCTAAACTGAACAGTACTTTCTTTGCCTTTAAGATACCACAATACTTCTTGCCAAAATTTGGAAATTAGACATTGAGATAAATTCAGATAATGAAGTTTAAAATAATAATTAAAAAAAAAAAAGCCAAAGACATTTGAAACAAAGGAGCAAAATTGACCTAAAAAGATAAAGATGATGTTTTAGCCACACTGGGAAGCAAAGCATAAAGTTCTGGTAAATGATTCTCCTGTGAAGTTAGGCTATTGTGGTGACAGTTATCTTCTACTGCCTTCAATCCTGTAGTCTTAAACGTGGGATTTATGATTATATTGTACTGCTACACAAATAATTTATTTGCACTTCTGCAACTTATTTTCACTTTCTGTACTGTTCGTTGGGGGAAAAAAAAAAAATATTCATGTATGTATGGACTAAGATGCAGTTTAAGGATGCCTTGCTGAGTTTTCTCTGAAGTGAATTAAAAATGCTCAATCTTTACTGCATTGCAACTGTGACATCTAAGCATCTACAGCTGATCTAGAAAGGATTACATTAGATGCATGACTCAGAGGCCGTATCAAAACAGTGTAGCTACTCAACACACCTCACGGCAAGAACTCTTTTTATTTTTATTACTGTACAAAAAGGACAACGTAACACTCATTATAATGTCTCAATACTTTGCCAAAGAGATACTCTCTTCTTTCCCTTGACAAAGTACATAGATTAACTGGAATAAACTCTTGTGTATCTGAGCATACAACAGATCAGTCAAAGTTACAAACTTTTACAGATTCTCCTGTCTGCAAGCATATTGTCCTCACACTGTATCTGAAAATAAAACAATCACAAAACAACTAATTACCTGTAATTAATTATGTCTGCACAGCCTAATCTCCATTCTAAGGTCTCTGTAGTGAAGTCATCAGTGTTACCGAGATCAGTAAAGCCCACGACATAGTCTTGTGTTTTTCCATCTTTTACTAGTGCTAGAGTGGGAATTACTTTGATGCGCAGTCTTTCACACAAGAAAGGAGATTTTTCAGCATTTAATTTCAAGAATTTTGTCTCAACATGCTTTTTTGCCAATACAGTCAAATGTTTATCCAATATTTGGCACCTGTGGAAAAAAACCCAAAATATATAAAATGTTAGAAGCTGAAGAACACGTATTTTAGAGAAAGTTTAAAAGGAACAGTAAAGAGCTAGTTTTATCATGTTAATTCCTCAGATGCGACCTTTGTAATTAAGAATTCAGTTTCAAGATAAAATGTGTTTCAAATGTAGCTGGAATTAATGACTAATAGAATAACAGCCTGGAGCACCTTTACTGCACAATTACACCATCCATTTCTCTTATTTCTTCCTCATTACTCCCACATGCACCTGAAAGCCTCTCATTTCTTGAGACCTGCATTTATAGGTGAAATTTCCCTCTCACTTCTATCCTGCCTGCTCTAGATTCACTGCCTATCAGCTGGAAAAATTGCTCTATAACAAATGTCACGTCTTCAGAAAAGTACTCTCAACATGTTACAGCATTTTGGTTTTTTTCAGTCACTATCTCCACAACTGAGATGCAGTAACTCACTGTACTAGGGGGAGGGGGAAGTGATTTGCACAGACTGCTTCGGTAGTGCTATAGGCAAAAATATTTCACTTTTCTGTTGCAATGGAATAGGAGTGAGCATACAATTATTGTTTCTCAGCTAAGGGACAGGACCATGAACTGCTCAAAATACTCATCAGATGGCAGAGATTTGTGGACTTGTCGCCTGCAATCTCAACTTTCTGGATTGTCTTCTTTAAGTGGTTTGGCTTAGCTGCATGAACTCTGTGATGTGACTGTCCTTTAACTCAAGGGGAGAGCCGAACAGATCAAAAAGCCGGAGTGGGCAAGGATAAAAGCAACTTGATATTGCGGTTGGTAAACCTGACACACTAGCTTCAAGCTGGTTGTGAGCACAATGCATCTGACAAAGAACTTTCTCTACAGTTCCTTCTCCTGTCTGAGTCTACAGACTTTTTTGGTTCAAGAAACAAGAACCAAACAACATGAGCCTGTTCTAAGCTACTTCATTTGCAGAAGTCTTTCAACTTCTTTGAGTAAAAGCCAGTCAAATACAGCCACTTCGGATGTTTCTGAAACTTAAACATTTAACTTAGAAAATGTAGGACGCAGATACCTCACTGCATAATCCAGCTTTGACCTCTTTCAGTTTCTCACATTGAGGCTGTTTCAGTTTATATTCTATAAGCTAAAGAGAACATAACACCTTGGGGGGGTGTGGGTGAGCAGAACAATCAACCAACCAACCAAAACCAGGACAACTGGCTCCTCCTTCAACAAACTACTCTACTTTGCAACTGCATTTTCACAGAAAACATTGAGACAGACCCTCTGAGGAACACAACCCAGAACTTCTGAAATTCTTCCAAGGAAGCAGGAGATCTTATTTTAGGTTCCTGTTCTGAGTCAGGACATATTCTCAGATCTTGGTCTCTCACACCCTACAAAAGTGATGTAACCACAAAGGCACAAGCACAAAGGGAAAGCAGCTACAACTGGTATCCACAGATCCTTTCAAAGTAAAAGGTTAAATTCTGAAGATGCCTAGACAAGTTTTTGGTTATGTTTTTATTTTCATTTGCCAGAACTGTCCAGAATATCTCTGTCTGGAATAACCAAAGTGATCTTTTTGAAATGCTGCTCCTGTAGAGTCACTATGTTTACAGACCTGGCTCCCTCAAACTAAACCAATAATGAAACACAGCACTCTCTCAAATATTGTCAAAGAAGTTATACATTTATATTCTAATCAACTATATAACAGAGTATTAATCATTGTCAAATCATGTCCAGATTAACTGGAATGGAAAAAAAAAAATTTAAAAAATCAAATATCTTGAAAAGGGAGTGGGATTTGGAAAATGAAGGAATTTGAGTACTTCTAAAAATGCCTATTTATTTCTCGATTTGAAGAACAAAAGAACATGTCTGTTTTTGTAGACATCTATAAACAAAAGGTTTCTTGGGCATAGCTTATTTACTGTACCTGAAAGTTGTATCTCTATAGAAATGGCAAACCACGTTTTTACTTTCTTTGACTTCTTGGAAAAAGTCTCTCTCACTTGGGATTTCTCTGTATTCTCCATGTCCTTTTGAAAGCCACTCCTTTTGAAAAACATAAAAAGGAAAAAATTAGTATGGAGTCTGTTAGTCCTGCACCTGTCATGCAAGCTCTATAGCTTTTAAGAAAAATAAAAGAGGGGGCCTGTAGTGGAAACCCATTTCATACACTAATAGAAGGAGAAACAAATTACTTCCCCCCTTTACTACTGCTTTGAAAATACACAAATGCCACTAGGCTAGACAATACTTTTGGGTTGCCCCTTTCTCAACAGCAGATAGGTGGTTGAGCAGTAAAGCTACCTTACTTATTTGGAAATACAAATCTTGTACAGAGCTGCATAAATTTCTGCAGCACAGCCTCTCAGTAAGACTATTTCAAAGAGAACACCAACGACAGAAAAATCCCAGCATTTGAAAACTGCTGATCGACAGCTTGGGCTACTCTAAAATGTTTTTGTACACTCAAAGAACTCTTGTCAAAAACTGAATCAAGTCATTACATGTATTAAAATGGGTTTCTTCTAATTTTTCCCTCTAGGAAAAAAAACAGTGAGAAAAAAGCCTACTAACTCACTTGCAACCGATAACGTCTATCAAATATATACTGAAGGTATCTTAATATGAGCCAGGCTTCCAGAAAACCATTCAGAAAACACATGCATACCATTAGTCACAAAATGTATGGAGAAACAGAATTTCACAAGCTAAAATTTACAGGCCACTACAAAAACTGCCTGATTAAGTGTGCAAATACAGTTTTGAAAAAGCTAATCTTCTAGATTTTCAACAAATGCACTTAAGAAAAAACCCCAGCTTCTACAATACTGAAAGTTAGTTGTAGTGTATTAAAACAAGTACAGCCTAAGCTAAATGATTAGAAGTAGTGCAGTATGACAGAACTTGACAAAAAACTTTAGTTTCCAGTGGGGAGGGGGTCGGGGGGGAAGATAAATCACTGTTCTTGATCTTGCAGTTTTGTCTTAGCGGGGGTGGGGAGAGAAGGTTTCCAACCAAACCGAAAATATCCTGCAACCTATATTAAGATAGAACAAAGAATTTCCTGAACATTGTACACATTAACAATTCATAGAAGTATGAGCATGTGAAGAAGTCATCATGATGCAAATCAAGAACTGACTTATCCTTCAGCAGTGGGTATGCATGAGTTCCCCTCTGCACAATCCTATTCCAGAATAGTGTGGCAGCTTACTCCTTTTACTGAGTAGTATCCCACTTCAGATTTGCGTTTGAAAATGCATGAGAACAGTGACTTAAGATCAAGGGACACGAACAAGTTTTTGCATGAGAACTAGCACATGTTCACATCCAAGACCATCCAAGTGTTATGACTTCTGAAAAAGGAAAATGCTAGAATCCAATATAAACTGAACTTCTGAAGACAAGCAAATAGCGTGCCACTTTCTCGACTTCAGTTTTTAGAGAATCAAAGCCGCTAACACTGCCTGTCCTCCAGCATCCCAACCATGCCAAGACATTTTACTGCATTCCCGTTTCACAGCATGGCATTAGCTTTTATGGGTTCCACCACAGCCAGAGCATCTCCTTTCAACCCAGTCACCTCCCCCCCAACCCAGTCTACTTCTTTGTTTAGGTTCGCTTAGATGGAGTAAGCTAAGAAACCCATGGCTTCCCTATTTACAATTCAGGTCTCACACCATATGCTACCAAAATTTTGGTGAGAACTATGTTCAAAGAGACTTTCTGGGGAGCATAAAGACCACAATCTAGCATGAGGTATCAGGGTCCGAAGCAGAATCTCTTTCCTGCAAGAAGAAATGAGCAGCCATACAAAGACAACATTTCATTGGGTTAGAAGGAGTGGGATAAACGATACCACCCTAGGGACAGGGAAAGACCCTGTATCGTTTTTCTACAAAATAACTTAAGAGAAGAGCATGCGTCACTTACATGCCATAAAAAACAATCTCCAGAATTCAGAAGCTTTAGGAGCCTAAAGGCTCCTAATGATTAGGTTGCCTACAAAGCTTATGCTTCCAGATAGCAACGTTCAGTGAACACGGACACACTTAAATCTCTGTATGAGACTCTTTATCCTATCTTTATCATAAACAATCACAGAGGTTCTTCTCTCCTCCTGCTAAAACACACAAAGCACGCACATATGGAGAGACACTTGCTTTCCTGGATAATTTAAAATTAATAAGTAGAGAAAGGTGAGGAAGAAGAAATAAAACAACCATTCAACCCCAAAACACTTAGTTCACATATACAGCTGCCCTAGAATTTTCAAAAAGTCTGTTACACTGTACACATCAAGAGTCGATATTACTACAAGAATTACTTGTTTCTGCTGTTGGGCCTTTTTTAGTGCCTCAAGCCTCCTTTGTTTAAGGCGTTCCAATTCATCTTCATCCATTTGGTCCAGCTTCTGCATTTCAGCATCCAGATGTTCTTCCACAACCTTGGTAGTCTGAAGTATTTCATTCTCCAGAACTTTCTGAAGTATTTCAACAGAGGTATCGGCAGCCATCTTTAACTAGAGAGTGATCTCTTCAGAGCTGTGGAAATAGTGATACATGGAATTAACATTTATACAACCACTTAATTAAAAGCCTGACCTCTCTTACTTGCAGTTCACACTGTAAAGAAACAAAATGCTATGCTATTTTAAGATAACAGTAGATAGTTCTTTTCTATATTGCAACCCCCTTTGGAGAATACTTTCACAATGAAAATACCAGTCAAGTCCTATTCTCTCAATCCCAAAAACAGCTGTTGAAAGTGCACAGGAACCTTAAATTACTTGGTCAATATAAAGAAGTAAAATTCACCAGTTCCAAAGGAACACTCATCCTGAGCCGGACCCACATACCTTTAATAAGTATTCTGAAACTAGAAGATGCAATTGGAAAGCTCCGAGCTGCTGGGAGGAGGTGTAAGATGTCTCAGAATAAGTCTAAGCAATGCTCAGTGTATAAATTTCCACCAGTAGTTTAAATGGAATTACTTTAAGTACCTGATGCATATTAACATATTTAAAGCTGAATTAACACTCCTCTCCTCAGCTAAAAGAAAGACACGGCGCTCAGCAGCAAACGCTTTAGGCCAATACACTGCTTCAATTAGTACAAGAAAACTGCTATTGCAAACACCACCCTATGGCAGCCAGTGAAAGGATTTAAAAAACCCCAACAACCACTACCTAATTGCTGTGTGAAGAAACACAGCTAAAATCATTCTCTGTAAAGTTCTCCCTACCCGAACACTTCAAAAGGCACAAAATACTAAGACTGGGGTGCATGAAGAGCTGGGGCAACATAATTGATTGTTCTCTCCAATAAACTTACACTACAAAAAACTATCACTGCAACGAGTGACACTTTTGAAATAGGGACAGTGCAGAGTCACCCTCATCAGATTCTCAACCTGCAGGCCACGGATTTGATGTGCTGAATTCGGGTTCCAGAGTACTCTTGGCTGTATTTCAAGATAGCCAAACTACCAGTGCCACTGGCTTTGCAAACACCTTGCACACAGAGGCAAGAAAGCATTTTAAGAAGCGACGGGCAAAGTATCAACATCACGGCAGCGCTCCAAGTGCAACGCAACGCCGGCAGCGCTAAGCCTGCTGCCACACTTGCTCTGACCTGCAGCACCTTCTCTTGAGTCCCTCTCCCCGAAGTTGCTAACTACCGAGTCTCTCCGTTAGTGGTTTCTGTCCCCCTTTCCTGTAATTCCAGAGGAGATGAGAACCTTGCTGGCGCAGACCAGAGGCCACCAGGTCTTCAGGAGAGGGAGGGAACCCTGCTCAGCTGGGGCAAAGGGAGGCTTGTCCTCCAAGCAAACCGGGAGGGAAAACAGAACATCAACCCCAGCCAGACTCCACTACGGCCTGCGGTCCCCAGAGGGCTGCCGGCTCCCCAAGCCGCGGAAGCCTGGGTGCCAACAGGCGTCTCCGCCGCCGCAGGGGGCCCGCGCCCCAGGGCCCCCCC